ACAAGAAGGAGATAAAATAAAAGTGTCTTTATTGGATACTCGAAACAATGATATCGTGAAATATTTGGTTCAGCAGTCAAATTTCCTTTTAAGTAACTTCAAAGCAATGGATGATGAAATAGGCAAACACATCTAGAACAAAGCAACCAATAGAAAATTTATAATAAAATCAGGATAGAGACTTATCTTAATGTGAGTCATTCAAATTGTTTGCGGCGCCACTTGTCTAAGCCATGCGGCACCTAAGAATTAGCTAGTTATATGGTTCAAGACATTTAGCCATGGCTCTTGTTCTAATTCACTATGCAAACGTAAGCATTGTTATTTCAATGAACATGTCATCTCTTACTTACAATTCAAAAAGTCCCGTGAAGCGCTTGAATGTTCCATCCTCTATTGTTCTAATTTGATTTCCATCTAGGCGCCTGTGGAAAATAAGTGAAACTTGTGTAAACGATATCCATCAAGGGAATTTTACAAAGCCCGTAAGAAACTAGCTCATTAAAAATATATACAAAGACTGCAGGTTGTTAGAAGAGACTTATTTTGGGAACCGTTCCGTTGATGGACTATACCGAGGAATTTGCTAGTCCGACTGCAACGCAAGATAATTTGATGGAGCAGCCGGAAAATTTTAGTCCTATACTCGATTACCAATCCGTACAAAGCAGTTAAGACTGTGGATATTGATAAATGGATTAAAATAGATAGAGATTTTGACTTTAAGGTGTTCAAGGAGGCGAGGAATACCGGAGTGCGCATTCGTAGTAAGCGAGTCCCATATTATGTATGCAGTAGCAGATACCAAATTCACGTTCCGGCCGCCCTGTGAAAGTATGCGAAGATGAAAAGGGACGTAGATCAAGGGCTGTAACGAAACCTCTCTACAATTAAACTAGCTGAAGAAGGAGGATTTTGGAGAAAATGATGATGAATAGACCAATTCCTTTGACCATAAAACGACGTTACAGAAGACAAATAAAATCACAAGTAATTGGCAAGTTTGAAGGTTTGTACTTATTCTCAACAAAGTCAAATGATCTCAAGTGACTTACAGAGTTTTAAGCCCTGATGGTCCTTCAAGGGTGGCTATTAGTAAGTGCGATAGGAAGTTAACATTCAGGAAACTGCAAGATAACAACAAGTTATGGCAATGCCAAAAGTAGTCTTTCCTGCACTGAAATGTAGATTTCATTAAGAAATGTTGATTTTTTTTAATATAAGCTGAGCTATAAAAAGAAAAACTGTAAGGCGTACATTTTTTGTTGTAAAGAGTCAAACTTACAGTTCTCTGAGCTTTTTCATGGCTTTGAAAGTTCCTCCCTCAATGTTTGTAAGACCACAAGAGGCCAAAAATCTTAAAGAATAGAAAATTTGCATGAGCAAGAAGAATTTTATCTGTGGGACACCACTGAAGTATGCAAGCGTAAATTCATGTCGCACGAATAAGAGCAGATAACAATTAATTGTCATCGTCCAGCCCCACTTGCAAAACCAAACGGAAAACCACATTAAGTAAAAACTGACTAGTGCAGGGCCGAACGGGTTGATTTGAGCTGGTCTTGAAAAAGTGGTCAGGCCCTGCCGTCCTTACAACGCTCTGCTCCAAAAAACTTAAAGAAAAAAGTTTGAATTAGAAGAGTCGTGTTTTTCAAGGTATATAGACCATAGGCCAAGACCCCTAAAATAGGGTTTCTTGTACCAACTTGAGGGTCCAGTGCTATCGTGGATTTTTTAAATCTAAATGTATTGAGTTTTATGATAATCCACGATATCAACGTTGAATCGGTAACTTTTATGGTGAAATGAGCTGAAATTTGAAGGGGATGGGTATCCAGTAGGATAAAAAATCTGGGTATTTTTGCATAATGCTCGACGTTAAAAAATTGATATTTTTGGCTCATGATATCCGCAAGAAGTGATTTTTGGATATGTTATGTACATCTATTATACTTTTCTTTCCAGAGAGTCACGTGTGTTTACTTCGTCTCCATGGTAACTAATACCCTAGAAACGGTATTTTTCGCCTTTGAGTGCTTGTTTTTACGCTTAGCGAAATCATGAAGTTTGCTTTGTAACTTTGATGTACTCATAATGCCCCAACTTCTTTGTTTTCTTTGTTTCAAGTTAATAAGTCCTCAAATCATAACATATGACAAGATAAAGTGTTATCCGTGAAATATCGCTTGACAAAAACTGCTATTATATTTAGAAATAGGGAAAAACATCGAAAAATTCGTATATTTTTACCATTTAGCAGAAGTCAAACTATACTTGGACATTTTATGGTACGTGATTGATTGCTCATTTAAAAAACTATTTAACTGATTTTCTTATCACGGAAATGGTTTCCAAGGAAACAGAATACTTTTCTTGTTTAACCCCATTGCGATATTCGCCGAATATTTTGTATGTCGTTTTTACGAAATAGAATATTATCAGTTATTAAGAGCGTTTACATGAGTCCTCAATTACATCAGATGTAATCTGATTAGCTATAGGCTGTAATGATCTCCCTTAAGTCATTAAGGCAGTCCGCCCTTTATGTACCCATCGCAGAACACCATTCATACTAGTTTCGTACGATTCAAGCATCAGCCTTATCAGAGGATAAAAACATTCTGTTACTTCCAAAAATTAAACCAGCTTACTTTCACCACTTATAGCAAATATCAGGTCTTGTCCTAACGATAGCATAAGGCGATGAGTTCTTGGCGAACAAGATTCCATACCTGAAAAGTTAGTGCTACCCGTCAAGAGTATATAAGAACTTTTTCACTACCTCTGGGATGTTCACGGCATTTTCGGTTGAGTCAGATGGCTTTAGAGGCCATGCGGCTTCGGTATCTTGGGCTTGGATGGCTTCTCATGGGCTAAAGGCGGTTAATGATATATGGCTAGTGCTGGACGAAATAATAGTACTCTTCTCTGTCACTTGCTTGGACAAATCCAGTCTTGAAAGATTTCTTGGAATAGCAAAAATTCGATTGTTCCCATATAGATCTTCAAAATCAATAGCATCTCTAAATTCTTTCTCGAGACTTCTTTTGAAATGGGTTCTTGTGGATTCTGGTATTTCCAATTCTCCTTGAGAGTTAACAAAAGTGGTAAACAGGGCATATAATTCGTTCAATCTCACAATCCTTGGATTTTGTAGCAAATCGGTTCTAATGTAGTTGACCAATTTCTCCTACCCCTGCAATTCGGTACGGGGATATTAGATATACTCCTCGTCTTCCTTCTTATCGCCACCTAAAGGGATATTTTGGGTGTAATTGCGATAGCATGACTTATGGTAACATGCTTCAGCAGCCACAAGCTTCCTAGAGACAACAGCCAAGATTCTGTGACCATTTTTCCTACAGCAGCCTTCCTGATTGTTTTATCGACGCTCATATCCACGCACTGAATCAGTTTCTCCCTCGTGCGAGAATTCCTGGTGTATTTATCTTTCTTGCAAAAGATACAAACCCACTGATAAACTCTACTAGGATTGGCCTTGGGTTAATTTATTTTATTTTATTAGCTTTTCCAACAATACATACAACCTATAACATGACTGGATAAAATAAATTAGCAATAACAACAATAACGGGCAGTCAACCACAACAGCAATAGCCAATTACTGTGGTCCTAACAGCATTAAAATGGTAAAACGATCACATCAGAAATTAATAATTAAGAGCAACATAGAGTTAGAGTTGTTTTCAGGCTGCGACAAGAATTGCATTTTGTACAAATAGTTTTATAAGTCCTGGGATTGTCAATGTCATAGATCTCTCGAGGTACGGTCAAATAATAACTCATCAAAACACGTATAAAGCCACTCACATTTTACATACTTAAGTCAAGCTCGTCAGAAAGTGTGTTCCAGATTCTTATTGTTCGTACAATAAATGACCGTTGATAGGTTGAGCTCTTGCATTTAGGTAAAAAGTATTTAGTAACATTTGTACTGGCCAACGATCGTGTGTGTCTCTTAGAATAAGGAATAGGAACAATTGCGGGGTCTATATCCACCAAACCAAGGGAAATCTTAAAAAACAGTAACATATCTAAGTATTCATGCCAGTAGCTAATAGGTAGTAAAGAAAGAGTTTTTGGTCGTTCTTCAGAACTTTGAATGCACGAGAATGGTAATTTCAAGATGTATTTTTAAGCCCATCTCTGTATATTCTATAGATTTGAGATAAGATGAAAAGATTGTGGTGCCCAAACTTGTGTAGCATAGCCCCAGATGAGGTCTAATGAATGTTAGATAGAATGACCTTCTCACCCTGGTACTTTATATGTGACGCGTGTTTCGTTTAGCAAACCCAAGGAGCTTGTCTGCGCGTGAGCATTGCTCCAAGACTTGGCGGTTCCATGTTAGGTGAGCGGAGACCCAGACACTAAGATTGCGTTCGTGACTTGCTTTCTCCAACATAGCTCCATTCATATCGTAGGCATTGTTCAGTGGCTTGATCTTACGTGTGATGGACTGGTGTTGGCTTTTCGTCTCATTAAATTCTAAGCCCGATTCTGTGCACCAAGATCCGATTTTAATTAAGCCCATCTGGAGAGCAATTTTATCATCAGTAGATCTTATTTCTTTGTA